AGTGTTCCCATTTCTCTACATCCTCACCAGCATGCTTTACTTTGTTGTTTTGTTAAAAATAATTTTAACTGGGATGAGATAGTACCTCCTTGCGGTTTTTATTTTCATTTCTCTGATGACTACTGACACTAAGCATTTTTCCATATGCCTGTTAGACATTTTTATGTCTTCTTTTGAGAAATGTCTATTCAGACCTTTTGATCATTTTTAATTGGATTATTTGTGTATTTTTTGGTATTGAGTTGTTTGAGCTCCTTATATATTCTTGTTATCAATCTCTTGTCAGTTGAATAGTTTCCAAATATTTTCTCCTACTCTTTAGGTCGTCTCTTCATCCTGTCAATTTTGTGGAAAATTAGTTGACTAAATGCATGGATTTTTTTCTGTTTCATTGGTCTATGTGTCTGGTTTTATGCCAGTACCATGCTGTTTGGTTACTACAGCTCTGAAGTATAATCTGAAATCAGGTAATGTGATGCCCCAGTTTTGTTCTTTTTGCTCAGGATTTCTCTGGCTATTGAGGGTCTTTGTGTGATTTTATGTAAATTTTTGGATTGCATTTTCTCTTCCTGTGAAGAATGTTATTAATATTTTTATAGGTATTACTTTGAATCTATAGATTGCTTTGGCTAGTATGTGCAGTTTAACAATATTTATTCTTCCAATCCATGTTTGCTTTTTACACATAGAAATACTACTGATTTTCCTTTATTTTATCTATACTACAATGAGGCTAAAGAGAAACATTATTTGCACATGCAAATATTGAATAATGTTTTAAATTCAATATGAATTCATATTTTGTTTTGTAATATATTTTTGCATTTCTTTCTTGAAAAGGAAGAATTCATTTATATATTTTTATGTTTTAACATTTTTCATAACTCATAATTATGCATAATCCATTAGTACATTTTCTCCATTTTATTAAAGATAGTTAAAAAAACAAAGAATACTTGGTTTTGATTGGCTGTTATTATGCAGAGGAAGGGTCTTTATGTGTAGCTAATTCAATTGAAATTTCAAAGACTCTTTGCTAAGACATTCTCTGATTCTCTCACCTCATATTTATGTCTGGCTTCTGCCATTAGAAACCTATTTCTTGCTGGATTTTAGATAGTTCCACTGGTTGGAAGTGTCTGAGGCAAGAGTGGATTCTAGTCAATTGTTTTTTCATCTTTCCAGAAATAAAACTTTAATTCAAATAACAAACAAGTATTTATGAGTTTCTACTAAACACTTAGCATTGTTCTCATTGTTATAGGACATATAAAAAACATTTTAAAACAAGGTCTTTGCTTTCAGAGGTCTTATAATCTACTTAATGAGGAAATGATATATATATGTGAAATAATAAGTTGATAACAAAGGAAGTGCTTAAATGTATATAACAATTAAGAGCATTTACCCACAGTAATTACTTGATTTGGCCAGAGTTCCTGTGGAGAAAGGAAGGTTTGAGAACTGAAAGAATAGCACAAAGGGTACAGGTAGACAAAGAAAAGGAGGCTGGCTTCATGGTTCCCTCCATTTGGAAGACCTAGAGGCTGTAGCGTTTTCTGCCTGGTTCCTCCATTTGCCTTCCACAATATTTGTTTTAAAGTTCAATGTCATTAGATACTGCAGAACTTCTGATTCATATTAACTACTTTAAGTGGTTAGGACAACTTGTAAGCAGGTACTCACTAAGTCTTCCAGAATGTTGCCATAAGGTACCTAATTTTTTTAAGTCTTCTGTGTATGTGGAGCTTTTTTTTTTAACCACATCCACCTTCCTGGACTATGAGCTCCTGTAAGACAGTGACAATGACTTATATATGTCTTTATTTTACTCATTAACTAGCATAAAATTGGCAATAAATATTTATTGAAGATATTTTATTTATCTATTAATACATTTATCATTAGTATTGTCTCATGTGTGCCTTTTTAGAGAAAAGTAAGACTGCTAAAATATTTTAGAGACGTGTGAGAGTATTATTATTCGATAACTTGATCAAATGCCTGGCAGCCCAAATTAAAGTACTAGGTGCTTTCTTAAAAAATTATGGAGATACTACTCTTTCTTTCACTATAAGAACTTGTTTATACTTAGACACATTATATAGTAATGGCAAAAGCAAATACATGGTCTATTGATGGTTGAATAATTATCTAAATAGAAAACAGTTCTTACTTTCTTTAACATCTTTGTTATAATCTTTTTTTAAAACTTCAATTTTTATTATTTGCTTTTTAAGTGGCTTTCCTGAAAAATTCACATTTATCTATTATAAAAATAGTTTTGTTGAAACAAAGCTTTGGAGTTTCACAGTGAAAAGACAAAGCAATAAAAATGAAAAAGGGCAACCAAAGGTCAGAGTCTGATGATGAATAAAAATACTCTGTTGTATATAACAAGTGTGAGGCACCATCTGATAGTGGAGGAAAAAGTAATGAAAAAGGTAGGAACAGCAAACCTCATAAAGTATATGAGAATTATTGCCAAATTACAGCACAGAAAGTGCCAAATTATAAGAAGCAAAATTTAACCTAGGCAGGCTTTATTTGCTTTGCATGGAGAACTACAGAAACCATGTCTGATTATTACTGATGATTGACACAGACCTTTCTGACAAGTATTCTAAACAATAGATTCTAGTTCTAGCCATTATCCAGAAAGGTGTATAGTTTTAACTTAATTTCAAAAAAAATTTACGATTGCACCACATAGAGTTTGTTGCATAAAGAGAAATCATAAGATATACAGACCACATGAAATAAAACATAAATGTGTTTAGTATTTCATCATTTTGTTGTACTTTAGATGTTTGTTTGTTTTTTTATAAAGTAAAAATTTAGGGGGCTTAAGAAACTCTTGTCGTTAGAAGGACATTAAGAATTTATTTTTAATATGTAAAATAAACATATCTATATAGAGTAATTTTTGTCTATTTTAATGAAGTGGCATTATGTAATGAAAAGACCATGAGCTCTGGCAGTCAAAGTTCACTTCAAATCTCTGCTCTACAACATACTAGTTGTTTAATTTTGGTCTAGCTATTTGCACTTCATATATTATTGTGAGGTTATAGTGAGGATTATATGGAATAATGTAAAAGTAATTTTAATATAGTAAGCATTCAAATATCAGCAATTTCAAATGTTTTATTAGGAAAATGCTATATTTAATTGTTAATAAATCAAAATACATTTTTATTTTGCTTTATTCCTAAATTTTACTTGAATAACTTTTTTTACTTGACCCTGCCACTTTGACTAGCTGTTTTTTCCCTAGCTAAAAGAAATGAATAAACCATATTTCTGATTTTGCACAATTGATCTTTCATCTCCACTGCTCTTAAGCCTTTTTAAGGTGACATTTCTGCAAAATAATTAGAAAATGGTTAATATGTGGGAAGCTTAAAACCACACATATTTCATTTATCTTTTATCTGGCAATTGTTGTTATGAGACATGTAAATGTGTATGTCTATACTTAAAAAAAGAATAGAAAAATTACAATTAATATTTTTAAACACATGCAAGTTTCTAACTTGGTATATATACTGTCAGGATGATATTATGTTACCTTAGATCATAAAGTGATTGAGAACAGGAATCATGACATGAAGGGAAATCACATAATGAACCATAGCGATTGTGATTAAAAGCTGGAAACAAAGAACTGTCCTGTGCTGAAAAACACCAGGCAACATGTAGTATTTCAGAAATTTCAGCAGTAGCTCAATGTGAAGCTTGCTCCCCAAGGATTTGATTATTCCATTTCTCTCAATCACAAATTGATCCAAAAGAATGGACATCTGTGGTTACTGAACTGCTTAATTTTTTTTTCTTGTTTTACGAAATAGAAAATAAAAATAAAGCCTGTATGATAACAGGTGGAAAAACAAGAAAGTGTTGATAATTATCAAGTCACCAAATGCCATTTATTAGAAGAGATTATTGAAGATCGTTAAATAAAAATAAGGAAATGAATTCTCTTGAGATTAATTAGCACTTGACAATTCACTTACGTCTTTTGATGCTCACATTATTTTTAAATATTTTAATATTTTCCAGAAACTTAAAAAAATAAAAATAAATACATAAAATTTCACTCACCAAATAAAAACATTATTTATGAGACACATTTATAACAGGAACTCAACTTCCTTCTTCAAAATTAGCACACAGAACTACAACTGAATGCAAAAAATCTGTAACAGATTGAGAGCAGATTGTTGACTATCACATTTTTGAAAGACTGGTTGCTTACTAGTTGACCAAGCCTATCTACTTGAAGTAGCTGAGGCTAAAATGAAAATATTGCAATTAAAAACATTAAAAAAATTTTATTGTGGAACACTGAGTATCATCATGAAACTCTTCTAGATCCTGGAAGAGATTCTAAACAATTTAGAGAACAAAGAAGCAACATAATTGTTGCTTGACAGGAGAAGAAGTACTTTAGGACTAAACTGACAAGAGAGAAAATGCAGTTTGACAGATAAATTGACGTACATTGGTAACAATGCTTGATTTTGAATGTAACAAATACTTTGAAATAATATCTTCAAAAATTGAAACAATAACCAGAAAACATCTTTTTGTGAACTGCTGTGAAATAAAAGCTTCTTATAGTCTCCTCTTGCTTCTAAAGTGAAATAGCAATGAATGTTTCTTAAAATAGAGGGAGGTAGGTTATACTGGACTGATGCTGAACGTCAGAAAATTTATCTACCAGCTAATGAAAAAAATCATAAAAGTGTAAGTCAGTGAGAAAATGTGACTGACTTTCAAGAAATGGAAAAGCAAAACATCATGTTGACTGGACATGTTATACTTGAAAGATATTAAACCATCATTCACACAAATGAAATACCTTGCGTTTATTTGAATTATATAAATGTAACCACCCGATGGATTCACCTTGCCTGCTTCCTAGACAGAGCCAATTTATCAAGACAAGGGAATTACAACAGAGAAAGAGTAATTCACGCAGAGCCAGCTGTGCGGGAGATGAGAGTTTTATTGTTATTCAAATCAGTCTCACTGAGCATTGGATCAGAGTTTTTAAGGACAACTTGGTGGGTGAGGGGAAGTCAGCGAACCAGGAGTGCTGATTGGTTAGGTAGGAGATGAAATCTTAAGGAATTGATGCTGTCTTCTTGTGCTGAGTCATTTCCTGTGTTGGGGCCACAAGATCAGATGAGTCAGTTAATTGATCAGGGTGATGCTAGTCGATCCATCAAGTGCAGGGTCTGCAAAATATGTCAAGCACTGATGTAGGAGCAGTTTAGGGAGGGTCAGAACCTTGTACCCTCTAGCTCTATGACTCCTAAACCATAATTTCTAATCTTATGGCTAATTTGTTAGTCCTACAAAGGCATTCTAGTTCCCAGGCAAGAAGGAAGTTTGTTTTGGGAAAGAGCAGTTATCATCTTTGTTTTATACTATAAACTATAAACTACGTTTCTCCCAAAGTTAGTTCAGCCTACACCCAGGAATGAACAAGGATAGCGTAAAGGTTAGAAGCTCGATGGCATCGGTTAGGTTAGGTCTCTTTCATTGGCTCAGTCATAATTTGGCAAAGGCAGTTTCATAAGCATGTGGAAACAGCCCTTCTACTTCCTCACCTTGAGTCTTGAGCAAGTTACTTAACTTCCATGACTTACTCATATGTAGCATGGAGACAGTTGTGTCTGTTACATAAAGATAGATTAGAAAAGTAATTGAAATAAAATAGATGAAACATTTAGAATATATACTCACACAAAATAAGCACTTAATAAATTTAGCTATTTTATATAAATATGAATATGTATATTTTTTCCTTACCAGTTGGTTAAAAAAGAACAAGGATTAAGTTTATCTAATAGTACTTTCAAATCATTGGCTGTCTCAAGTAAGTTTGCTTCTAACTGAATTCCATAGGTTTAATTGGAGTGAAGCAATACCAGAGAGCCTATAGTAACTTTAAAGAAAAATGCCAACAAATTATTAATGGTATTAAACAAGTTGAAAAGGAATCACTTATTTCAAGAGCTCCTTTGTGCATCTTGGTTTATCTAGAGCTAAAACTTGAACCTGTTTTTTTTACTGATCACTGCTTTACCTTCTACGTTGGGGTTTATGTATGTTAGTTTTCTGGCCATTTTCAGGATGGATTTCCAGAGTATATCAGTTTAAGCTAAAAGTTAACAACTTATGGTTTTTATGCTCTGAGTGCCACATTACAAGATTTAAAGTTGTTTGTTTATCCTGGGTTAGCACTGGGCAAAACTGAGGATTAGACAATGCTGACTTATATCTTTAGATTACACCTCAGATTCCTAGTTTGGCATTCTTAACCTTCTGGCTTTTAACATGAGTCATTTTCTGGGAATTTTTCATTTTTAAAGGGTTCTACTGGAGGTGGAAGAATATCTGTCTTTACTGTAGCTTCAGAAAGGAGTGCATTGAGATGAATTGCTTTCACCCTTCCTCACGTCTTCAGTAGAGAATAATTTAAAAACACTTTAGTGTAAAGAAGTGACAAACCGTTGCTCATCCCATGTACAGTATTCTTCCCCCCAACTCTTTCTGCCCACCCACAGGAAATTAGAAAAATGTCTAAATATCTGAACCCTAAATGAATAATAGTAGGAAGAAAATCTGGCAGACCAGAATCCATTTTGTTGGATTGAAAGGTGCATTGAAATGTTCTTAAGGGACTTGGGAAGGATTTTTAGACAAGAGGATAAAAACACAATTTTGAAAGTGTAACAAATAGAATAAAACAGTAAAAATTTCCCTGAACATGAAATATTACTTTTATTAATAATACTATAGTACTTTACAGGCTGCAAGAGTTTTCTCCTTCTTAGCACCTACTTCTTAGTGAGTTGCTGCCAACAAATGATTATAATATGTCTGTGCAATTGTATTTAAGGAGGACAGATAAGACAAAGCAGACAAGTAGTTCTCAGCCCACAAAAGGACATAGAAATTGTCATTTATTTAGAAAAATAAGCATTTAGTAGTCTTGAAAATGTTATTGTATAAATTCTTGGAAAAATGGCATGTTTTACATGTCATGAAATAGAGTAAGGCACCATGAGTACCAGAAATCCTGATTTAATATTCAAGAATGTTAGTATGATCAATTTTTCTTTAAGTTAAATGCAAGTATTACTCTCACACATTCTTTTCTCTTCAGAATTATTACCTGTGCTATGAGCATGAAATGCTATGTGGAAGCTAACATTTCTCAGAAGTGCTATACTAATCAACAGTACTTTGTAAAAATGTGGAGCAGTGTTTTTTAGTGACATTCCTATCTTCAGCTTCCTTGGTGTTTCTAGCATTGGAAGTAACCATGAAAGGAATTGGCCTTACATTTGTTTCACTGTCATTTTTTGTCTTATTTGGAGAGCATTAGGTATGGTGAATATTGTTGTTTATGTAAAAACATGCCAGCTAAACTTAGGATAGTATCAGAAGCAAAAAAAATTAAAATTGCAATAGCAGACTCTGTTATATTTCCATTTACGTAGGAAGTGTGCAACAGTAAGGGGAAGAAAGTCTCTGGAGACAGGCTACCTAAATTCAAATCGTAGTTTCTTTTTTCAGCCTTACGGCTCTGAGTAAGTTACAGAATCACTCTACGTCTTAGATTCCTCAACTACAAAATGAGAGTGGTAATACTATCAGATTCTGCCAGCTATTGTGAGAATTACATGCATAAAATACAGACAGCTTAACACAGAGCCTGGTACATAGTAAGCTCAAGTAAACGTTAGGTGTGGTTTTTTTTCCTGCTACTGATACTATTGCCACGGCTTAAGCTGTTGCTGCTGCTACTGTGACTGCTGCTACCAATATTATACTATTCTAGCATAATAGAACAAATACAGATGCTCCTAGCACTACCACCACGAGTATCCAATACCACTATTATTGCTAAAATGAGAACTGAATGGTTCCTGTCATTCTTGTCTTTCTGAGGATTACATCTTCCCACCTCACCCTAGCTAAGAAGGAATAAAAATCACTACTGCCTTCAACACTGTTGCTCCAACTTCCCATCCTAACACATGCATGTATGCACCTTGATGACGTCTGCATGATTGCTGTTGAAGTACTGACTGTATCTTGGAGAACGCTGACCCCAGCAGGAAAACACACACTGTGTCGTTTGTTTAAACCCTGCCCGAGGCCAAGTGACATCTGATGCCCCAAAACCAAACCTGCTATGTGACTTTACAGTTGGCTGCAGCTAAACCCTCTTCTCATTCCAACCCTTACACTGAAAAAAATCCCATTCATAACGAGATGATATACACATATGTAGCACCTTTTTTATCCTGAAAGCATAACAGCTTCATTGCTAGTTAAACTGAGCTGTCTTTTTAATCTCACATTTTATAGGCTGCATAGGAATTCAGTTTATAGTTTATAATCTTTTCTTGACATTTATATTCTGCTTCCCTCCTCCTTCGCAAATGAACAGAGTCATTGCAGATTTTTCCTGGGAGACTAAGAAACTTACTGTAGCAATACTGAGAGGCACATTAGAAAAATTGCTTAGGGTTCTAAGAATGAATCATAAGGCAAGCCAGGGTATGCTTTATTATCCATTAACATGTATTTAGGTTGGCCATTTACAGTAAAACCACCAGCTGAATGTCATACAAGTTCCTAGAAGGCTGTATTTAGTTCATTCTGAGCCACTGGGAAATCTCAACAACGTTGTAAAATGTTCTTTTTTCTAAATATCTTTTAAAATAAAATTGGACAAAAAAATCTACTTTGTGTCTATATGCTATTATAGCTGACAGATAAGAAAAATGCCAGGGATAATTGAGGAGGTTTTTGTAAAAAATGTTAACCCTTAACAAGAGCAAGCTTTCAGGATAAAAAGATTCCTCCAAGTTTATAAAAAGGTTTGTGTGAAAATTTATGAGACATAACAGATCCTGTTTCCAATACAATTTTATTTCTAAATAGTAATGTGTAGATATTCACTGCCTCTGGCGTAAGGAGAGAAGAGGAAGAAATACCTCTGATAATATAGTCCATGGGGTATCTGCACCTTCAGAAACCTGACATCACAGTTTAGCTTAATGCTGTGCCTAGATATGGTGGTGGGAAGAGGTGAACTGGGTACAGGCCATATGAGCCCATGCTGTTTTTTCCCTTTGGACTTGAGCCATATTAAATGATATTTTTCCAATTCTATTAAATTAGAAGGGTATAGTCACTGGCACATCAAAATATTCTCAATCCTTTTGGTTTGAAGACCTGTATAGAATCAGTAATAAGCAAAAATAAAAAGTGAGCGTCCTGTCAATATTTGACTAGCTGAATCAATACCTACACCTAAGCTGACTAAATGCAATTTGATGAGATGTGTGATGGCTGACTTGCCTGTTTAGCCTAAATTGTAATTTGGTCCCAAATTATAATTGTCATTAGCTTTGAGTTCTGGTCATTTCAATATAGAATAAGGCTGATTAGAAATGTTCTGTCCAGTCATTTGTTGGTACAACTTGAATGTTCAGAAATGGAGGAGTACTTAAACTACTAAAAATAATAATATAAACACAATGATATTAGGCTCTGGAAGGTTTCTTTCCAAAGTGTTAACAACAGTGTTCTCCAGATGGGTGTGACTGTGGGTATTATGTTCTTCCATTGCATATTTGTTTTTTTCTCTGAGAGAGCCCTCTGCTTTCTTCTACTTTTGTAGTAACAAAGAAAAGAGAATTAAAAGAGCTAAGGAGACCAAATGAATTTTTTAAAGAAAATGTAAAAATCTGGAATTTAGGGTGAATTTAACTTACGTTTGTTTTAAGACAATTATGTCTGTTAGAAGAGTTTGACTATGTTTTCATATTTCGGCACCATGTCAAATACTTAAATTTAATTAAAATGGTTTTTTAAAATAGAAAAACAGACAAAAGTTCTTAATCATCCACAAAAAGCTGCAGGACTATACCCATGGCACCACAACTAGACACATATTCAAAGAAAGAAAATATGTAATTTTATTCCACCCAAATAAAATTTGGGCTAAATTGTTTTTTGGGCAGCTTACTTCAGTTGAAATTGTGTAAAGATCTCTATTTTCAAGCCGGTCATGGTGGCTTACGCCTGTAATCCCAGCACTTTGGGAGGCCAAGGTGGGCGGATCACCTGAGGTCAGGAGTTCAAGACCAGTCTGGCCAACATGGTGAAAAACCACGTCCCTATGAAAAATACAAAAATTGGCTGGGTGCAC